AGTTTTCCACTTTTACTTCATCAATATACTGTACGAGATACCTTTAAAATACAGAATATTATTGTAAGTTGAGCTTTACATATTGTGAAAGAATCATTAATATATACTGAAAGAGCTACAGTTTCTTTTGATACATGAAACAGAATTTCTCTGTCAGTCAGATCTTTGGCACTCTCCTTCTTTATCAATTATTTATTTTCCTCGACTGATATGGACCTGATAGTTCAGACTAGTTACACATTCTTGAGGGATGTTCAGACATCTCCTCTCCATTCCTCATCTCGGGATGTTGTTCTGCACTTGTTTCGCCTTTCCGTATACATGCATAACTCGAAAACACGCATACGTTTTGACTAAAGATGCACAATGGGGCAATGGACTGTCACTTTCACTTTGGCCAAATAAACAAACCACATAACTGGTTGTGACATACCACCCACCAAATGTTACCACTAGTCTATTTCTCTCCTACAATCGTAAGAGGCTGGAGAGGAGACGAGAGCCTCAATCTTTTTGCATGAATCAAATTATAAAACTCTTCGAAAGAGAAAGTCGTGTTTTCCACTTCCTTCAGATCAAAAAGATTCAATCTTGCGTCTTCCATTTTGCAGCTTTTGGGTTTTCTTTAGATTAGTTTTAAATCATATCCTACATAAAGGAAATCCCTGTACAGAATACTAAACTGAAGCAAGAAGGAGTGTATTACACAAAGCAAACAAGTAGACATGCACAGAAATGTTTAATATGTATTGACATGACCATGAATACAAAAATATCATCATTAACTCACTGATGCCACTTACCTTGAGAGAGTGGTGCTTGCTCTCATGTAGTATCATCTCCTCAGATATGATGAGAGCTCGGCTGCACAGGTCAAGAGGCTGGGCAGAAACATATTACACGGACAGATTAAGTTTTTACACATAATTTCAATTTCATTGATAATTTATATCTTTACTCTGATATGCATCAATGACCACAAGCACACATGCTCAGACTATTACCCTTAGCCTCACTGTCAAAATCTTGAATGAATGTTAAGCGTTTTTCATGATAAAAATCAGGAATATACTGCATTTGTTATAGATCTGTGAAATAAAACATGAGGTTGCAGTACCAAATCCATTTTTGGCTCCCAAATCCAAACGATCTGCAAAACGGCTAACAGCTAGTCTTTTCTTTACTGTGGGAAAGACAACTGAAACTGACAGAAAGCAAGCTGTGACTGTTAGGTGCTATGTGTGTGGTCTGTGTATGACAAGACACTGACACTTAAAATGAACAATAAGCCAACGTAGGAGGAGGGAACTTCCTCTCAAGTCCAGTGAGTGACAGAGGGCCAATTCAGTCTGTGTGTATGCAAATAATTTGCATACTGTGAAAAGTAGGGTCTGGGTTGCACGTTTCTATATGAATTAACAGGAAGTACCACCACAGTCCCTGCATTTTGTGCAAGTGTAAATGGCTGAAAAACCCCAAGACACCAACAGTATTTTAAATGATGCAGAATGTGAAAATAATAACAACTATCTTATCTCACAATGGTCTTCTTTGGTTATTTAATCGCATTTTCTGCAAGATATTTATTATACCAAATGTATACTGCATGTAGATATGCAGAAACAAGAGCATTTATTTTGCAATGACACATGACTTGACATTACTTGCCTCTGCTTCCTAATTTGGACTATTCCTCCTTCACAAATTAGCATACCATTAAGAATACATTATGTAATAAAATATTCTTCTGCTAACCTGAAGTTGAACAAAATATACAGAACAATAATAAAAACCAAAATAGTCCCTTTAATTTGAATAATACAGTTCCTGAATTTCTTGTGCTGTATCTAAAATATAGTATAAGTAAAAATGTAATAGTTTGTAATACTGACTTGCTAGGTTCTTTAACACTTTAACACTGTTTAACTTTAACACCCCCATCATTTCTTATCCGACTTCACAGATAGACTGTCTAGTGCTGTGGTCTAAAAGCAGAAATTCACAGAAAAATATGCATGTCTAAAATGTGTTATGTATGTCCCTTCATTACTTGCAAACCTCAAACATCTTTTTCCTTTTGACCCAAATCTGTTGGGGAAAACCATCATATCCAGGATGCCATCTTTTGCACTATGATATATGGGTTTCCCTATTTGACCACTGAAGACTGGTTTTCATAGCATAATGGGTACCTAGTGGCCTTAAATGCATACCACATAACCACCACAGTACAGAAATTCAAGTCTAGCCGGGTCTTTGTGTGTCACCCCCCTCTCTCTCCCCACATATCTGTATGTCTTTTTAGTGCAAATAGACAATATTGTTTTCAGTGCTTGAGATGAGGTTGAGATTAGAAAATGGGTTGGATGAAAATCTATCTATTAAATCTGAAGCTAGAGCCAACGGCCTGTTAGCTTAGCTTAGCATAAAATCTGGAAAAGGGGGGAAACAGATCTGTCCAAAAGTAAACAAAATCCACCTACCAGCAGCATTAAAGCTTACTAATAAACACAACTATATCTTGGTTGTTTAATCAGTACAAAAATTAAAGTGTAAAAATGTATAGAGTATAGTAGATCTCAAGAGGAGACAAGTGGAGACAAAAAATCTTAAATCTTAAAAAGTGTCAAGATGTCCCAAGATTGACTGTAAAACCACCAACAATCACAACTACAAACATACATTCACACAAACTGGCTCACCTGAACAAAGATGGGGAAGATAAGGATCTTGGGTGCCGCTTTGACATATCCATAGTTGGCATGTGGAGTGTGTGAGCGGACGATGGTGCAGTTCTGGTAATTGGCAAAGTTGGCATTCTGCTGTTGGTAGTTGGGTCCGCCGGCATTAGTGGACGTGGATGCCGTCTTTGTTGTCTTGGAGTTGTTCGACCGGCGCAGGAAGCCAGTACGGCTGGAGAGACCACCACCACCGCCGCCGCCGCCGCCACCACCACCACTCATACCTCCAGAAAAAGCACCTCCACCACCACCCTGGGCCTGTGGACCAGAAGCCTGCCGTGTGGGGTATAACCTGGCAGCTGTGGAACAAAAAGAGTAGATGATGAAGATGTAGAAGATGGAGCCAGGAGATGTTAGCCTAGTTCTATCGAAAGGTAACAAAATCCACCTACCAGCAGCTCTACAACTCAGTTATATATAATTAGTTTAATCCATACAAAAAAAAGAAATGAAAGAAGTACAAACTGGGGATTGGAAGGATTTAGGAGTGAGCCGCTAAGCAAACCAGATGACTGACTATTACTCTGATTACAGCTTGTCCACAACTGACTCACCATGAAAGGGCCAGAGGGTAGCTCTGTGTGCTAACTACTTTAAGTGTTGCTAAATAAAGTGTTTTCAGGGTCTTCCTGTCACCAAAGTAGAATTGTTTGCTTTGTTTGTGTTTGTCTTTTATAGTGTTGGACAAGACAGAGGATACAGATATTTTAAGCTGTTATATTAGCCAGGTTCCAGAAAAAATTTCATTTAATGTATTTCTAAGGTCAGTTTAATTCAAAACTATTTCAGGGTGCCAAATGATAAGTGATTTCAATCCTATTCATTAAAATAACAATAGTCTAAAATGTGAAGTCAAAAATGTTATTAACATTGGGCTACATCCAAAATAGTTAAGGCACCAAAGCCAACTTAAACAAAGGTTCTCAGCCAAAATGCCTCACAGGGTTGACTGTAGCCTTTAACAAACATAAAATACTATACAAGTCTTACCTAATGTTCCCTGGTTGTCTTGGTAAACAGGCCTCAAGATCTGAAAGCAGAACAATATTAAATGACATTAATATTAAATAGGCTTGTTTCAGCACAATTAAAACTGAAACTACATCTAGAATGGAACAAATCAAAAACACATTAAAACAATGACATAAGATTAAATAAGATACAGCATGTCATTGTTTTATTACTAAATTGATACTACAGTATATTGATAGTTGAAATGCAATTCTGATCTTAACGTTCTGTGATGTGAGGAAAGGGTTGCCATGAGACATACCGTATGTCCATATTATAATAAAGGACAAATGTCATTTTATAATATACTGCATGCTACTCACTTTTTTTTAAAACATTTTTCCTCATACTCGTGTCTACACTTTCTTTTTCTGCGTTGCTATACCATGAGTTTGTGTTCAGGGTTCAAGCTGGACATTAGCAAGTGTAATTTCTTACATGACATTGACTTCAATGTCTAGGACTCAGCTGAGCCCATCTGAATTGAGCTGGACTCAGTGAGGCAGTGATGGTTTCCACGTGTCAAAACAAATTACCATCAGCTGACGGAGTAAAGATAGAAAGCTGCCACCACGACACGTTGTTCAGATTAATATAGTAGGTAAACTAGGGGTTGGAAAGTCACAGAATGTTTAAACATATCATTAGCATGCTTTCCTGTCAACTTATCAAGATAAATATTTTCCATAGTGTGGGCTTTCAAAGCTCTTTGTTTGTGAACTAGACTATTGTGTCGGTGTGATATGTCACCAACATGACCCATTTCCAGAGGGCTTTTGGTATATTTAGCCTGTGATGGCCACCACCAAAATATCACCAAAATCCCGGCCTCCTTTTTGGTTTGGGATAGAAGTAGTGGCCTCTAATCTTTTTCCAGGGACTAACCAGAACACTCTACTCTCTTTCTTTCCATGTTTTTCTGCTATTTTTCTGAATCTACCTCTGTTCATCCTTACACAATCAATCTTATCATATGTGTGTCTGTCTTTTGCCATGATGCAGTACAGTGTACCTTTACTGAACCTCAACCTGGGAATCATTCACAGATGGAAGATGGACACAACATAAGGCAAACACAGATGCACACACATAACACACACACAGCTCCATGTTACAGACTTACTGGCTGTCAGACACAGAGGAAGAGATACAGAAATAAGATAATTTAGGTTAACTATAAACTCTACATATGACAGCAAAAGGATTTAGTTAGTTAGACATGTTTTGGAAGTCTTGTTATTTAGATACTGTAGGCTGAACCTAGATTGCAATCAACAAAAGACAACGTCTCAAAAACATCTTGAATCTTGTGGTTCAACATGTTTGTTGGTTATTGTAATAATACAAATGTGGTTAATGGGTTAGTATTGTACTGTTACAGTTGTGTTAGCTGAGGAATTCAGTTCAGTCTTTTGATTTTAATGAGTTTGCTTTATTTTGTTTTTATGATCAAAGCTTTTACCTCATATACATAATGTCACTGGATGAAAAAATAAGTACATGCTGTGTAAAAGGTCATATACAGTACATGTCATATTGTGCATGTACATGCATGTTACACTGCATATTGTGCAATGGACCAGTCTTGGAATATGTGACAGTACTATTTTTGTTGAATTATTTCTTTTTGTAAAATGCCAGAAATATTTGTTTTTAAGCTACTGATGTATAATCCGTGGCACACATATGATTTATGTTTTCCATATGATAGCTGTAGGATAAATAATGTCAGATACATATGCTTTGTTTTCCTAATATGAACTGTGCTTAGTGGTAGAATGTAATGAAAGAAATATTGCCAAAACTTTACATATTACAGGCATACAATATATTATTAACAGCTACATATTATATGTTATTATCTCCTCTTGTTGTCTATTACTCCATATCTACATTACACTGAACTGTATGTAATGTATGCAGTGTCTTCAAAACATGTCTTAAAGCACATCAGTGAGACAGCAGCAACCCAATTGGCCCAGACATACTGTATATACAGTCCTTCTATCTATCAGCACCAGGGATGTAAGGTAAGGAGACATATCTAGGATGAGCCACCATATGACCATGGTGAGGATGGGGAGGACGAAGAAGATGATGAAGATGCAGCCCACCACCAGTTTGCGGTACCTGGCTTCCAGGATTGATGGGGGCCAGGATAATGTAGTTGTCCCCGTTGGATGCCTTCACCCTGGTACCCTTCAGCGTGGCAGTGTGAGGGTGGTGGAGGTGTCGCGGTTTCCCATCCAGCTCCTCGGCCGACCCTCCCTGGGCCCCCCACCCCATCGTCCCTACGCCTACGCCACTGCTATTTCCAGCTTCGGAGCCATTGACCAGCAGCCTGCGGGCCGCACTGGCACGGTGGTGGGCTGGGAGAGGGGGCACAGCTGGGGGAGTTTTGCTGGCGCCAACATCTGGTATGCGCCGGCGAGTAGGGGGTGAGGGGGCGTCATAGTTTGAGGTGGAGGTGGAGGGTTTGTAGGAGGGCCGGTGGATGAGGCCCTCAAAATTAGGCTTAGCTGAAGGGCCCGTGCGCCACACCACCACTGTGATTTCATTAGCGCTGTTTCTACAATGAGAAAGAAAGAAAATGATCAACAAAGTCTGCTGGAGTGTAAATTCTAAATATATACTTCATAAATCAACATCAGATCTTACACTAATTGCCACTCACTGTCCAATCTCACAGTAAACGTAATTTCTATTGGCTACAGGCAATCTCAACCTCTGGAATAAATGATCTTTATACACCACAGCTCTTGTTCAGAAAGTTCACATTGGTCTGTAGGTCAATCATGGTGATTACAAATCACTGATCCTGAGTCCTGAGTAGGCCTGTGAAAAGGATTCCCCTATTTTGGTGTAAATTAGCCTATAATCCTCTGTTGTGTTGGACTCATTACCTGATAGCATGGGCTAAGTCCACACATTTCCACTGCTCCACTGGCTGACCATTTAGCTGCAGGAGAGTGTCCAACTGCTGCAGACCTGCCTGATCCGCTGGACCCCCTGCCAGAGTGAAGAGACAGAAAAAGTTCAGATCATTACGCCCTCTCAGGTGGAATTTATTCTATCCAGGGCTACAGCTACTTCATGTATTAAGCTTGTTCCTTTAGTACTGGAGTTACAGAAAAGAAATTTACTTTACAGATGGACAATAAAATAAATAATCGGATATTAAGCTGCTCGGAAAATTCTGGCTAAACTCAGTTTGCATTTGCATTGCAGGGACAGTGTAATGATGTGGTCAGCTCAAGATTCAGCATCTTGTTCAAAGACATGGCAGCAGGGTGGATGTCTGCCAACATGGGGGCTTGACTCCAAGTTGTCCATTTGATGGACAGCCTCCCTATTAACTGCAACACCCTGCTGACTGAGTCGATGCTAATGGTAATTCTCGAAGCTACAGCCACGAGTGGAATTTTTAAAAAAAAGAATCGCTCACAGATGACATGAATCTTTCATGATGTAAGGTGCATTCATTAGATGCCAAACTCAGGTCAATTGATATAAAGTGAAAGTAACTTTTTACATTAATATAAGCTATTATCATATTGTTTATGATAGTCTAGTAATTTGGTCTTAAGCCACGTTCATGTCATAAATATTATAAGAACTAGAAAATCTACCTTTGGCAGTCCTGCAAGTGAAAAAGAAAAACACCACTTATAGAACAACTAGTATTAGCATCAAATCTACTTTGGTTTAGTAACTTTGTTCATGACTGCTTTTAAATTCAATAGTGTATGATTTTAGTGGGATTGGTAGTAGGATGGGAGAAGTTGCAATGAGAAATGCTAAGGAGAATTTTAAGAAAGAATTGTCTTAAGCAGTTAAGGTCCAAAGACAGTGCATCAAAATTTAAACAACAACCTCTTCGTGCATACAAAACTTGCCTGGATCAACAGCCTGCACCCTCACAGGGGAATCCGAGCAGATGGTGAAGCCATATCCATCCTTTCCTCGAAGGATGGTCACCTGCAGAACACACACACGGAGAGTTATTTTGTGATGGGAAGATAAGACCTCTCTCTCTCTCTCTCTCTCTCTCTCTCTCTCACTACCTGAGTAACCAAAAGTAGCATGCTGGCAAAATACTCAGCTTCCTTCCTACAGGACGATTAAGTAGATTTGTATTCTGCTTTTACTTCCTAATAAAACTGTCTTGACAGCAGTTTCCTGGTGAACCCAATTAGCTGAGTTAGAGGGAAAAACAACTCAGAGAGATGAAAGAAGGACATTCTTTGTCCAGTAGTCAGGGAAGAATTGAATACCCATATTCGTTCACACCTATACTTTATGTTCATAGTATACACAAATACACATACTATATATATATATATATATGTATATTATACTGTATGTATTATAATACATTTTTTTTTAAAAATTTAAATACAACATGAAGCCTCAAACACATCAGATCCACACACACACACACACACACATAGACACACAGACAATGCTGATGGCTCTTTCCCATTGTCTCTCTTTCTCTTTGACCCCGCATTGTCAAACATTCGGTACCTGTGCCCGACCGCCTGAGCCAAAGTCAACATAGTTCCATCCAAAACATCTCACTTTCCATCTCATCTGCTGACAACCAGGGGCCCGAAACACACAGAAACACTCCACCCACCCTCTCTCTTTCTTTTTCTGTCTCTAGCAAAACTACATGTATATTCTGCTGTCTACCCGTGAGCAAGACGAAGAAACTTGGAGAAATTCAGTGATTATTCTGGGGCCCGAAGCTTGTGATGACCCTAAAATGTCGGGTACAATTGTAGTTTCTTATAGTCCACTGATTTTATGTGCCCTGTGTCACACTGTTCGGGGCCACAATTCCTTTACCATATTTCTCTTCCCATTATCCCTCGGATTTCTCTTTGTTTCAGTCTACTTTCAGAGTGACACTGCTAGTAACAGACACAGCTTGTCTTTTGTCATGTCTTTGTTACCTGCTGTACAAAAGCAATAATGTTATGATTATGATCTGTTTTTGTATGCATGTACCCTGTCTGAAACTTGATTAACCTTCTCACAAGTGTGATGTTGTCTTTATGGTTCTCATTGCTGAGAGCATTGTAGGTCATTATATACAAACACTGGTCATAGGAGCACCCGTACACTGTATAATTAGAAAGAATACACTAAGTGTCAGGGCAACATTTATGAAGGAGGTTGACCTTCTTCCTCTGAGGCTGATTAAGCACTTATATACACACATGGGAGCACGTATGACTACTCATCGTCATTCATGACTGTGTCAAAAAGTGCAGACGCTGTTATAATTGCAAAAAGTTTTATCGTATGTTTGTATATATTTTTGTATGAAGTCGCACGGTTACAGTGGAATAAACCTCGAATTTGGCTGTGTGACAAAACCTGAGAAAAACAGACAAAAAAGAATGAGATACACAGAAACTGGCTGTAGGTGGAGAGAGATGAAATGATGCAAAGAAGGGATAAAAAATAGATTAAATTGTGATAAAAGAGGGCAGTGGCACTTTGAAAAGTGACAGGGACGGAGCAGATGACAGAGATAAATAGAGGTGGTATGAAAAAACAGTTCTCTTGAATTTACGAAGACAGTCGCCGAACATTTTGAAGGATCAGATTGAAAATTTAATGCGTGAAAGAAAATGGTGAAAAACAAAGACTGTGACTCAATATCAAAAGAAGTGAGAGACACATCTATCCATCACGCTTCACCTTCCTATGTGTCTATGTCTTTTTATAAAAAGCAGTGTCAGACCTTGTGTCCTTTTTAAGGGAACTCTCAGAGCTGCATAATTTGGGCCGATTTCTCCAAACTCCAGAGACTTTGCAGCGTTAATTCAATTTGTAAGCATAGTTGAATCCACTTGGACTCCTCTGGTCCTAAGCCCCCCTTTCCACTTGCAAGGATTATTTTTAAACTGGAACAGAAAAGAGGAGACTAGTTTGGGAATAATGCAACATATGAGGATGGATGTTCTTTAAACTGAGAATTCAATCAATCACAAGACATTTTACTGAAATTGAATGAAGATAATTAATGGGAAATGTTTCCAGAGTGCATTAAATATTAAAATTGTATTAGCGGAGCATTATTGATGAATTAATAATACAATCAAAGGGATTGTGGAAGACCTGACTAGACTAAGATTTTAACTTTCTTGTGATGAATTTAGATGTGCCCAAAAGAAGAAAACCCTGCAGCCCATGTGTGTACAGTATGTGTTCATGCATGTGTGACAGAGCTTTTCGCTTTTTACATTCATGCCTCAGTGCTCCACCATCATTTCGGACATGGCTGCATTAAGCTAGAAGCAAAACTACTGCCAACTTCCAGCTGATGATTACAGTACATGTCTTGTCGGCAGGTCCATATAAACTACATAAAATCTATCAACCAGTGGTTGGCGATGATATCTGGGTATGGTCAGAGACTAAGACGGCACACCTTCCACACACACACATAAATACAACAAAATTGTCATGATAGATTTTTGTCATGTCTTACAAATATTCTCGAAATTCTCTTCAAAATATACACATCTATACATACTTTTAGGTTCTGTTCCACCCCAATCAGTTCAATTATATTCTGTTTCATCAGATTTGATTTTCCTATTTGTTCTAATCTGCAAATCAGATTCATTGCGTAAAGTGGCTTATGTAAGGACAGTTGCATCGGTTCATATCATAGCAAATATTGTTCGTCTCTCTTCCACTCCTGCTTTCTCACTATGTGAAGGATAAATAATGTAAATGACAGAACACTCGTTCTCCCCTCTCAAGAAACACACATCCTTTCAATCTCGTACACAGCCAATTATACCAGCCCAGATGTGTTGGACATGTAGTTGAAAGTGCATTTTTCTCCTGTACTGTAATAGCAAAATATCAGCATCTCATCTTTTTTTTATACCACTTTTGTATTAGTATGACAGCTGACTACTTTCTTGCAGCTTTGTAAATTATGGATTATTTTTTTGCAAATTATTTCTGAAAGCATCGATCAGAGATCTTTCTTTCATTCTCCCAGTCTCTCAGTGACTCAGATTGATACTGTACGCTAGATGCCTTCTTTTCTTTTTCTCACCCCCCACCCCTCTTCCTCCCTCCCTTCGCCTTACTCTCTGTAACACAAACACACCTGAGGCAGCCTACATCCGATGCAGAGGTGGCACAGGCCGTGGATAGTGTGCATAACACCTCCACCTCCTCCTCCTCCTCCAGCGTTCAAGTCTGCAGCCAGGACACACACACTGCGACGGTGACTTTCCACCTGGCCAGCCCCTCTGCAGCCCGAGTATCTCCACAGCTTCCTTTGTGCGGCTGAGTGTGTGCTCCTGGGGCTGTGCTCCGATGGCTGAGTGGATTTAAGTGTGTTATGTATCATCTCAACAGTGACAGCTGCCAAGTCTTCAAAACGTGTTCAAAACGTCCGATTTGACAAATCAGTCCAGTGACAGTCCAGTTGAGGTGGCTCTAGATAATAATACTGTGTCTCAGCTTGCTGGAAAACAGATAGGAATTCGTCGAATAGAAGAGACTTTTTTTCAACCAAACTGGCCTTTCGCTCTGCATCAACTTTCCCCAAATGGAGCTAGATTAAATTTTCTTGGTAACAGTCCTTTCTGCAAAACTGTCGTCACTCTTCCGCTGACCTCCAACTGCACTGTTATCCATTCAAGGTTTGTAAGTAATGACTCCAGTCATCAATGCACATTCCTGCAAGTGTTTATGCATCTGTACCTGTCATTTGTTCCACAGCTTCATGTCTTCCTTTTGGCTCTTTTTAAACTTCTATTCAATCGTCCCTTCTCCTTCTTTCCTTTAACTTTTCTTCTTTCTATTCTTTTCTTACATTTGTTCTATCCCGTAACACACTGTCCAGCTTCTTGCTCCATGGCCTGAACAGCAGCAGTTGCAGTAGCTCCTGAGATCAGCTGTGTGAGAGTGTGTGGCGGCGTCATGTAGGCGAGACTGGCGCTGGCTCGGCCTGCTCAGGCCACACTGTAGCTCCTGGCAGGGGCGCTCATGGGAACTCTTCAACAGCAGAAGAATAGGAGGAAGTGCCTCCCACCACCACCCCCCTCCACACACATACACACAACACATGCACTTACGCATACCTCGCCACCCCACAGCCAGGATAGCTTTGTGTGTCTGCCCCCGATAAGACCAGTTTGCTTCCTGAGTCCACACTATGAAGCTGTGAGAGGTGCTACAGCTCTCAGTCATTTGCAAATATACACTGTAGTGACTAACGTAGGAGGCAAAAGTGAGACATGTATGAATCAGAAGAGAGAAAGGCAGGTTTTTTAATAGGCGTTTATTGTGCAGGTCTGAGACTGCAAATGTGCTGTGGAGACCAGATCATATTTGCAGTGTAAACGGAAACATTTCTGATTGCTACAACTTTTTAATGACCAAACAAAAGAGAGTGACAGCTGTATTGTTTGGGCACATACTTAACTCTCTCCCTCTCTCTCCCTCTCTCTCACACACACACACACACATACCATAATCAGAATTCACACCTCATCTGACTCTTTCCACCTTAGCTCCCATACTCCCAAATCTCCGTCCAGACATTATGCTTGTTTGTTATGTTTTCGACTTCCATATTTCCTCTGCTTTTCCTTTCAGCTGCCCCCCTCACCCCCAACCGCACGGTACGGAAAGTCATAGGTCTGCAACTCTCTGACAATCTCCCCTCCTCTTCCAGTAATCCAAACATTACATTTATTTTTGTTTTCAATAGCCGTATGCCTGGGAAAGAGGTGGTAATCTGCAAAAAAAATAACAACAAACACCTCAGCAACAGTGCATGAAAAAGTCTTTTAAATTAGGGCTAAAACAGTGGCCAGTCTAACCCCTAGCAACCCCATTAATTCCTGGCTTGCCTCTTTTCTTTTTATCGTTTGAACGTCTGGCTCATGGATTGAAACATGGACAGAGAAGTGACGGAGAAAGAGAGGGGTGAA